CCAAAATTGCCGTGAGTTTGATTTAGCAGCTAAGTTTACAAGTTCATTTTGTCACATTTTCAAATATTTTAACTTTTTTTCTTTAATCAATTTTCTATAATATTTCTTTTTTAATTTTAAATAATATTCCTAACTTTTCTCATTTTGAGAATTTCTAAACTGATTTAGTACACGTAATACTTCTTTTTTAGTTGCCAAACACTCTTTATCGAACCATATATTTTCTTTCTTTTTTATATTATTTTTGGTCTCAGTTTTCATGTCAGTGGCACACAAAGAGACAATGTTCACCAAACCCGCTGCTGCTTCCTCAAGGTTTCCCATAATAATATTGTCGTTAAAAGTAAGAGTTAATTGCTCAATTGGTTCAGTTTGAAAGTTATCAAGATACTGCTGTTTTTTCTGATGCTCCCACCTTAACCTAAATTGTGTCATTCTTGTTAACAATACAATTGTCCAAACTATCCCTAGTTGGATTTACCCCCACCCCATTTTGGTAAGTTAAAACAAATTCTAAAGGCATGTGGTCAGATTCAACTCTACTGCCCACTGTAAAATCAGTAAATTTAACTAGAACCTCCTCTGTTGTCAACACATTGTCAACTACACTCGTACCAAGTTCTGATATAAAAGTGAAATTGCCACTCCCTCTTTCCTGAAATAATCTCCCATTCACAATTTTTAATCCAGTCACTGAACAAAATTCAAGTAGTTCCATCCCATAATTATTTACTACCACATCTTTTGAAATTCATTTATCAGCCCCTTTCAAACCCCTCCATTGGCAAATATGTGCAATCCAGATCAATACCATCAGATTTGCAACCTGTTCTACCATTAAAATCTCCTGCAATTATAACATTGCACTCATATTTACTGGTAATAATTAACATTTCAGATTCCAAAGTATCGAAAAATCTTTGTCAGCAAATTGTGAGCTTTCTGGTGCTCTATATACATTACCAAGTAACAAAATCAGGTGATTTCTCTGTGTTATCAAAGCCCAATATCGGTTGTATATCTTGAAGTTGATCATCATACGCATACAATATACATGTTTGTACCATCAATTTTGATTTTAGTGTACATAAATTTTACTTGTTTGCCCACAGCTCTTGCATCATCTGCAAACTTTCCCAGCTTCTTTCGAGTTTCTCTTACTTTCCAAGTATAGTCTTCTCCAATCCGATAGTCAGTACCTTTCAGTTTATTTGCTGCATGGAGAACTTGCATACGTTGCTTGTACCTCAAAAAATTAGCTATAATTGGTTGTGGGTGACTATGAGCACTAGTCAGACGATGAACTCGCTGAAATTCCAGTTCACCAGCGTTTATATCCAAGTTGTCAGTAATAAAATCTTTCACAGTATTTCCTGTTGTATCCCACGTTTCCATACCAAGCTGTTCAATACCATAAAATATCAGATTATTACGTTTCAACTGTGCATTTTGTTTTATCTAATTCTACTTCAATCCTATTTGAACGTTCACGTAATTGTTTATTTTCTTCAACTAGTTTTGCCATTTCGCCTTGGTTTTCATCCACACTACTTTTCAGGACTTTTACTCCTCTGCTAAAATCCTCACTCTATTATCCACCACTTCGATACAATCCATAATATCTTTGCACAAACCCTGCATCTCCATCATGACATCAGCCAACGTAAACTCATCAACACGTTCAACACCAGTCTCTTGTAATCCAATATGGCGACCCTCTTTGTCTACCCTGTCTTCTATTTGCGTTAACTGGATTTTTGTTAATGGCGAAACATGCTGATCACTGCTACTACGCAAAGTCATCGACTCAGATATTGTTTGCTGACCATCAGGCATCTTATGAGGTGGCCCAGGGTTTACTTCAATATCGCCTGATAAAAGTAGCAAGATCTCGATGATGAATAAACTCACATGTATTCGGCCATGTTGATCGCACATGTGCTTTCGCTGAACCGGAACTTCGGGCAAATTCTTGTGTTGAAAAAACATTTCCGAACAATACGATAGTGCAATAAACACCTGATGATAAGATATTTCTTCACTGAGCAGTCTATGTCACTTTTAAATGTTATTTCTGGTAAAATTCATATAACTTTACAGAATTTATGGAGAGCACTGAAAACACACTGTTGCTCTGACAAACGACCCTCGCTCTCGCTCTCGCTCTCGCTCTCTTTTACACATTCTAAGTTGCTATTGTTTGCACACTCTCTTTTACACATTCTAAGTTGCTATTGTTTGCACACACTCTTTTACACATT